AGGGCTTAAAGCAAGGAGATCCCCTATGTATCGGAATCCTGGAATCCTGCTTCTCTCTACCAACATGCAACCAAAGGAGGTTACCACCTCCGGTTCGTCAGCTCAGGAGCAAGATCTCCTAGCTCGAAGTGTCAAAAAAATTAAAGATGGGAATTCTGGCCCCTCAATTTTATTGATTGGCAATTATACGGAAGCTCAAATGACAGAGGCCTCTGCTCAGATGATTCCTGAAAATCATCCAAGCAATCAAGATAAGGGGAATATTCTGAGATCATCTTCTTCAACAGATCTCGCCTCTGACATCCAAATGTTTGATGGGGGTCAACCCTCCTATAAGGAGAAACTTACTGGAATGACAGACCCTGTGGCCCTCACATTCTCAACCATCCCGGACTACATGGATGAGGAATCGGATATCGATGATGATCCCGATGATGATACACCGATTGTTCTATTATCCAAAGCTGAAAAACAAAGAATCAGATCCCCATGGATTAATGCCTTAATTATTAAAGCTTTCTGTAAAAAAACCTTGGGTTATAACTATTTATTTCCCAGAATCAGAGCTCAATGGAATCCCACTGGGCATTGGGATTTTATAGATCTTGGTCTTGATTTCTTCTTGGTTCGCTTTCAGGATGAAGCAGATCTACATAAAGTGATCTTTGGAGGTCCCTGGTTCGTTGGTCCTTACTTCCTCACTATGCGCAGATGGGAACCAAATTTTGTCCCATCTGAGGCACTCCAATCATTCACCACTACTGCAGTTTGGGCTCAACTGCCAAACTTATCGGCAGATTATTATGACCCTTCTACACTTAAAAAAATTGGAAACAAGGTTGGTAACTTGCTTCGAGTTGATGCTCACACAGAACACCATACTCGGGGACAGTATGCGAGAATCTGTGTTCAAGTTGATCTCTCAAAACTAGTGGTTAAACAAGTCTGTATCGGTAGACATCGACAAAAGGTTCTTTATGAGGGCGTTAATGCCCTGTGTTTTAATTGTGGACGGATTGGCCATCGAAACATACACTGCACTCATTCTCCAACACCAGTTCAATCTTCTAATTTATCTCCTCCATTGATTGCTAAGCCTTCAAATGTGGGGATTACCACTGCCACTAATCAAGACCCACAAGGTACAGAGACTGAACAAGCCCAGGATATAAATAGTCCTACCAATCAGAGCCACAAAGGGAAAGCTACAACCATCCCACAGGATCAAGCTCAATCGAGTCAGGGAGACTATGGCCCTTGGTTACTTGTAGAAAGAAGACGACCAAGACGGCGCCAAGCTGCTTTCACAGAACAATCAGAGAAAGGAACCGCCGGAATTAGGCATCAGAAGGACTCTCGTAAGCCCGAAGTGCCCACCCGTAAACTCGGCTCCAAGATTCACCAATCCCAAGATACCAACGGTACTACTGCTTCCTCATTAATTATGGGACAGAAGTCCAATGCCTTCTCCTCAACGGCTCCTCCTAGTCAACATCAACACAATGGAAAACCAAGTAGTTCAAATACCAAACCACAAGTTCGAGATAACCAAAATCCTCTCAAGACCCAAATGAAAATGGCACCATGGAACAATGGGTCCAGACCTAACAACCTACCAACAGGGCCATCTAAATCTGTGCCTTTCAACCTCTCGGCAAATCCAAGCCCAAAGGCCATTTTGGATAATAGGGTCATGGAAAGCCCACCCTCAATTGTTGATGGTTTCTCTCTCCATTCATCTCCACCCACTGATTCGCTCATTCCTTCCCCTTTTTCTTCTACTGACCCTAATCCCATCTTACCCTTGATCCCTACTTCCATCGAGGGACCATCTGAACCTCTAATTCTTGATCCTGGATTGCAACCACCAGATAATCCTAAAGGGCAATGTGAAGAGCCTCCAGATATTAGAGGTAATCAACCTATTGCTACATCTAGATTCCTACAGATCCAATTTGGGGAACAAGTTCAAAGTTTGTCGAGCATGGAGAATCCCGCTCACCCTCCACAAAAAGATGAGCATCCACAGCTTACTCCTTCTTTTCCTTATGAAGAACAGAGGAACTCTAAGGGAAATGGTTCTTCGCTCCGTATTGGATCTAATCCCCAACGTCGTAGGCACTACCATCGGCGAGTTAGAGGGCCATATCAAACCACCAGTGTTAGAGAGCAAACAGAACCTTCTGCACTATCAGTGCATGCAATTCAGGGAGATCGCGACATCAACCTATCTTCGCAACTACCAGCAGGACAGAATGATGGACTCCCTCAACAAGGATTTCACAATTCTAATCCTACCATTCCACCTTCCCACAGCTCAAATGGTAATGAAAATGCTAACGGGTCTTATCCTAACCCATAGTAGCCGTGTAACCAAGAAAGCACTTGGACCTCTTCATTTTGATTTTTTATTAATGAGGATCATTATCTGGAATTGTCGCGGGGCGGCAAATAAAAACTTCAGGCGTCATGTTATGGATCTGAAATCTACCCATTCTCCTAGTATTATGCTTATTATGGAGACTAAGCTTGCTGGTGATAGAGCTTCTAACATAGCCTCTTCCCTATTTCCATGCTACCATGTGATTGATGCGGATGGGCTTGCTGGTGGTATATGGCTTCTCTGGGATGATACTCGGGTGTCTATTGATATTATTGCTACCAATCCCCAAGCTATTCATGCTATCATTAAGGTTAGTAACCATCCTATTTTTTCTGAGTTTAATTGGTTCTTTTCTGGTGTTTATGGCAGGCCTCAACAAGAGATTCGTTCTTATCTTTGGCAAGAGCTTTCTTCTCTTGTTTCCCACTTTACTGGGCCTTGGGTCATTGCTGGTGATTTTAATGATGTTCTTTCTCAATCCGAAAAGTTTGGAGGTGGTCCTATTAATCAAAAACGCGTCCAAGCCTATTCTTCATGTATGAATTCTTGTAATATGATGGACATGGGCTTTGTTGGGGGGCGGTTTACTTGGACTAACATGCAATCTAATGGAAATATCATCCGTGAACGTCTCGACAGATTTTGGTGCAACCCAGAATGGAAAATCTGTTTTCCTGAAGCCACAGTTTACCATCTTCCTAGGGTGCACTCGGATCATAATCCCGTACTCTTGAATCTCGACCCTGGTCATCCTTCAATTGGCAAACGCCCTTTTCGAATGGAGAAATTTTGGGTGGACCATCCTGAATTTCAATGTCTTGTTCGCAACACTTGGAATTTTGCTGATGCCACAACAGTTCAATGTGTATCTTCTACTATGCAGAAGGCTAAGGTTTGGAGTCATGTCACTTTTGGGAACCTATTTAAAAGGAAGAAGAGAATTCTTGCTAGATTAGATGGTATTCATAGGTTCCTCTCCTCTCAACATAGTAATTTCCTCACTACTTTGGAAAAGAACCTTACCAATGAATATTTGGACATTCTTAAGTTGGAGGAAGACCTCTGGTTTATGAAAGCTAGAACCAACTGGCTTGTTGATGGTGACAAAAACTCTCGATTCTTTCATGTCACTGCCCTCAAGCATAGGTCCCAAAATAAAATTCATGCACTTAAGGATTCAACTGGGAATTGGTTATGGAACTTGGAAGATATTAAGGTGTTGTGCAGAGACTATTTTAAAGACCTTTTCACTTCATCCCTTTGTTATTCCTTCTCTGATTCCTACCAAGTGGCTGACTTATCTGGGAATCCCTCCAATCCTCCTCTGGCTGACTTGGCTAACCTTCCTTCTGAACAGGAGATTTGGAACGCCCTCCATTGTATCAAACCCTTTAAAGCTCCTGGGCCAGATGGTGTTCACCCCTTTTTTTATCAGAAATTTTGGGATATTGTGAAAGCTAAGATATGCCCTGAAATTATTCAAGCCTTTGCTACTGGGACCATTCCAATGGGCTGGAATGAGTGCCTCTTAGCTTTAATCCCCAAAGTGAGTAGTCCGGAATCCTTACACCAATTTCGTCCCATTGGTTTGTGCAATACTTCTTATAAGATTATATCTAAGATTCTTGTCAACAGAATCAAGCCTTTTATGGACAGCTTAGTCTCCCCATGCCAAGCTAGCTTTATCCCTGGTAGAAGGAGCTCGGATAATGTCATCATTCTTCAAGAAGTTGTGTATGCTTTCAGTAAACGTGCTGGTCGTGAGGGAGATTTCATTGTAAAAATTGACCTCGAGAAGGCTTATGATCGTCTTGAATGGAGTTTTATTAGAGAAACTCTCATCTTCTTTAATTTTCCTCCAGATTTTATTAATCTCATCATGTCATGTATTTGCACTACCTCATGTTCTATTCTCCTAAATGGAGAACGCACTGATGATTTTCTACCTTCACGGGGTATTCGACAGGGAGATCCTCTTTCCCCTTATATTTTTGTTTTATGTTTAGAATTCCTTTCTCTTACCATGAATAAAGGTCTTAGCATGGGACTTTGGAAAGGTAGCAAAGTGGGACGGAG